AATACTGAAGTCTCCCCCAAAATCCAGACTTAGACCAGATCAAAAAGCAAAGACGTATTATCATTGGTACAAGATAAATCATGTACACTTTGTAGATCTGAATTTCTTATTACATAATGACTTTGGAGAAAGGTACAAGCAAGTGCCACGAATTCTGTTATCAAGAATTTAGAAGAGCAAAGGAATGTTGTCTAATATACAAGAGAATATGTCTGAAGTATTCGATAAATTAATAAAAAGAGGTAGTCTCTTACCGGACCAAACCGTACAAAGTTGTTCGTTGAACAAGTACCGGAAGCCTTCGTCAACTAGTTGATGAGATCTGCAAATGAGCTCGAGACCGTTTGTGTGCAGGAAACTCTTGGCAACACCAGCACCAAATATCTGAGAAATATATTACTTGCGTCACAACGTTAGAAAGCTACCAATGCCAAGTTGACTTGCAAGAGATGCTCACCCATCCAGCTCCTCGCTGACTCACAACCCATCCCTCCTCTCCCTCTTCTGGATCAGACCACATGAGATCACACAGTGGACCCTGTAGCAAACTATATCTTGATTTGAAAGACTGATTTATTACTCGATCATTTACCTTTGTTGGAAGCTCCACTGCTCTATTCAAACTAAGCATTTTGTCAATCGATTTGACTTCTGGTGACAGTCCGCCATGTACGCATAGAATTGAATCATCAATGAGAGCGCCAACGGGAAGTACGTCGAAGACCTGTATTCAAAGTCAGAAAAAGAAAAAGAAATTCCTATGGTTTTCTGAGACAGGTGGATGCTACTTAAATACCCTAATTTGAACAGTGACCCCTCTTCTTTTCGTGAGTTCAATGAAGAAGTGACCATTATTCTTATTCCATGTGAGTTAGAAACTATCGACGGGATACAATAGAGCGTAAAGAATAAGTTTGCCCTTGGGCATAAATTATTCTTTTCTGAGTGAGATATAATTTCCAAATGTAGCATAACTTATATGGCAGTGGGGAAGCGGTTTTGGTAACAAATGCATGTTTTTTTTTTACTAAACTTGTATTCATTTGATTCATAAAAAAAAACCATGGCGCAGAATTGACTCTCATATGCTTTAGCCCATTTTTTTAGAAGCGGTGATTTAGGACTCAGTGGCAATTATGTCATGCAAATTTCTCTAGAATCGAAATCCTGTCGTTCTTGTCTTCGAGGTTCACTTAATCCAACGTTCAGCAAAGTCAATCTTCATAATGATACCAATATGTTAATTCGTTCGATTGAAAGATTAACGTATGCTTGACTTCGCTCATAAGTTAAACTTTGGGCAAAATGCTGTTAAACGTCAGGAGACTCCATTAGGATACAAAGCATAATATCAGTACTGATATCCATGTTCAAGATGTAGCCGTTTTTTGACAGAAAAGAAGATAGTTGTCTCAGGTTGATCCAGAAGTTTTTTTTTTCGCTTTCTTGCTATTTTGATTGATCATAAAATAAGGACCAAGCAGCAATGTAAGCAGTACTCAATAGTATAGGCCATCCGCTATTCAAATACTCCCACTAGAGTGGCTGGCTGGAACTACTCTATTGTGAATTATAAAAACCAAGCGCAGCTTCGCTTTGTTCTGTTTAAAAAGAATGTGTGCGTAAGTTTCCCCAGTCATCCTAGCCAAAACGCAGCGCAAATTTTGCACCATGACTTTCTGCGAAATTTCGGCGGCTCCTTTCCGAAACCTCTGAAAAGTTAGAAGTTCAAAAAATGAGATTTAAGGAAAGAGAAGTGACTGTCAACACGGGCGCGTTCTCTGACGCTTTCAGTAATAATCAGAGTTAGGGCGCCTTATGGCTTCGCGCACCGCGATGATCCGTTGAAGCGTGCTAAACACAGGTAAAGGCGGCTTTTCATAGAAGACGCATGGAAGTGTTCTATGTGATGGAACTTCATGATAATATGTGCTATGAGAGCTGTAGCAAACATAAATGTGTTTGAGAACTAATTTTTTTGCACATTCTCTAAAGATGTACGAATTGTGATGTACAAAAGGCTATGTGATGTAGATGTACAGGATGCTTCAGATTCATTTTTGAGACGTAAGCTGATTAATCAAAGCAATTGCTTTTCTTAACAACAAAATTTCACTTAAAGTCACCAAACATTAAGTGACGATCCCAAACAGCTCCTTCTTGCGACGTTTGACCTGGGAAGAATGTGTATAATTGCATATTTCCTAAAGCGTTGAAAGCAGGAATAAATAAGGTGGATAAAGATTCCTTTAACTGTCATCAAAATTAGCGTGATTTAGCAACTGCGCACAAATTTCAGCAGCCTAAAAAAATGCAGAAATCAATAAACTAGTAAAGCTAATAGATACCCGGAAAATTGAATTAGGCTGTCTCGCCCTTTTCCACTGAACCAAGATATCTTTGCAAACTTTGCGCATTGGTTAAGAAACTAAATTTCGTTATTTGCGATATACCCTAAGAACAACAATTCTCTTTTCTTCTGTGACATTCAAAAGTTCGGAACTCCAGGCAATATCGAATATATCTCTTTTTGTTTAAGTTATTGGATATCCCTCCAAGTTACTCTAACGTCTCTCTTTACTTAAGGAGAATACGTCTGTTGACAATTTGGGTAGCGCTATTCCACGTCAAAACACCTTTTAAGCGTGCTGCCCTCCTGAACACCATTTAGGCGATTATCATATAAATATACATTGCGAGATTCAATGCCCGCCCCTCCGTAGAGGCCTGGTTCAGAGTAGTGCGGGCAGATGGAGTCAGCCACTCTTTTCGCAGTGTCCTTAGGAGGGCGGTTTTTTTACCGATGATGGAGGATGGGAGGGGGGAGGAAGGAGATTGCGGTTTACTATAGTAAGGTGTTCAAGCTTTGAAGCTTCAACAAATGCTCTAGGCATATTTAACAGCAGTAAATGGGGATTAGAAAGAGTGATGTTTGAACTACGTCAATAACAGCAAATTGTATATCTTGAGAACTTTTGTAAAAAAATCTTTTCGTTTCCCAAACCCTCAGCTCTCGTGATCGCTACACGATAAAATGCTTTAGGCAAGATATGCTTTTTCAAACAAAGGCAAGATGATAAAATTTCTTAAAATGCAAATGAGTCAGGACTTTATCATGAAACGAAATTAGATACGAAAGTTTACGAGTGCCATCTTCTGTTGTGACCACATTTCAATTTGAATTTTCTCCTAAGTATACTCCATTTTAA